ATGTTAATCATAATAAAATCATAATAAAATGATAGTTAATGAGAATGAAAGAACATGCTTTTCTAACATCAAATTAACCATCGATAATTATTCTCATTTAAACATATTTCAATTAAATTAAATATGAACAAACCATATTCACTTTATTTTCTTAAACAAACATTTAATGTTAATATTTTAACAATCAAATTTTTCTAATTGAAATTTAAGAAATATTTGATTTCATTGAATGATAATAAGAAAGAAATAATAATCCTTTTCATCATTAATTCTTACAAATAAATTAAAATAAATTATATAAATTTATTATATTCTAAAAATAAAAGACTAACAAAAAACAAAGAAAAGTGTAAAATAACTTAAATAAACAAATACAATGTGGTTTTGTTTATTACTTCTATTTATTTCATTTTGTAATGGTGAATATTGTCAAAAAGTGGAAGGGAATGATATCGTAATCTATGCAAATACTAGTTGTAGTGATTATACTTTAACTTCAAATAAATTAACAGGAGATTATACTAAATATTCATCAGTTATTATTTCAGTTAGTAACTATTATGGAATATCTGATTTTGGTTCGGTTAATCCATTTAAGGCAAGAAAAGTTATTATACAAATAGAAGAAATGAGTACTAGTCATTCTTTTCTCTCCTTTGTAAATATTGAAACAAATTTTAGACTTGAATTGGTCAAAAGCCCTTATTCATTTAAAAATGTTCAATTTACTTTCTATAATGGAAATAGTCCAACAAGAATAATTGGAGATGTTGATGGGTTGTTAGTTAGTGGAAGTGATGATTATGATTCTAATTATCATTTGCCTATTCAACGTACTTACTTCAATTCAATTCCTATTAATTTAAAATTTAGTTCTGATATTAGTATACAATATTTAATATCATCATATGAAGGATCAATCAATAAAATAACACCAAAATCATCAAATGATAAATATTTCAGTCAGACATGTGGTGGAATGGTTCGTTATTTTAGTTATAAAAACATTGCAATTTATGATATAACAACAGAATGTAATCATCAATTTAAAAAAGATGAAGAAGATGATTTTAATTCATTTATTGTTACTATCACTGTATCTTTATCTAATTATTGTCAAATATCATTATCAACAAATAATTATATTATTAGAAATAACAATCGTCCATCAATTACTCATACAGTATATACATATCCTAATCAATGGTTAAAATATGAATCATCAAATCAAGCAATATTCAAAATTTATAGAAAGAAAGAACCATATCAAAAAATTGAATTCAGTTTAACAATTGAACAATCAAATGAAGGAACAACATTAATTAAAGAAGTAGAAAATAATGATAAATCAATTTCAACAGTAATTATTTCTTCTTCAAAACCTTTATATGTTTTAGATGATGTAAAATTTTCAGAAACAACATTAACAACAAAGAAAAGTCAAATAATGATTATAGGAATGAAAGGAATAACATTAGATAGTATTGGATATAAGAATTGTAATATGATGATTTATAAAGAAAAAACAAAAGAATGTATTGAATGTGAAAAACGATATTATTTAAATTCAAATAAAGAATGTCAATATAATTCACATTGTATTAAAATAAATAATCAAAATCATTGTATTGAATGTGAATATGGATATTATCTTAATTTAAATACAAAACATGCAAAATACTCAAAATGAATGTAAAATTGGAAATGAAACATATTGTTATCATGTAAGAAGATTTATTAAAGAAATG